AGAATTTTGCATGTACAGGCTGAGGATCAAAACAAGTTATTGACCTAATCTGAGTCTGATGTCTGTCAGCAGACAGATAAGGCTAATAAGTCTGCAAAAGAATGAGATAAAATAATAGAATATGAAGACATAGGACAGATAGTAAATCTGCCTCTTCCTTTCTACTAATATTACCTTTAGAATTATACTGCATTATTTTCCTTCAAAAAGTAAATTTTAGCTATTTAGAAGATTTTTATCTCCTTTAGAAGAATTTTTATCATAACAAAATCTTATATTATTCTTCACCATCTAAATGTTCCCATTATATTCCAAATGTGATTTATTCCTAACACACTTATTAAGCCCCAGTAATAAACTAAGTATCTTGTGTTTTAGTTATGCTTAAGAACAACTTGTAGGATTAGATAGTCAAATATTTGCAAAGGTAGAAACAGTCTCACAAGCAAGAAAATGCACACCCACTTACAAGTTCTTCACATTTTCTTAATTTATCAAAACCTGGAAAGCTGATATTTCAGCCTACTTGTATACATGTCAGAAGAGCTGCTAACACATATGCTCATTTAGGACATATAGGCGAGACAGTGGGGGCATACAAAATCTACAACCAGGCACTGAGTCAAGTCACACCCACTCAGTAGTTTCTCTGTGCCAGGCATTTTCTGGGTGAGGGAAACATCACTTGGTCAAAGTTTAATCCATGGGTTTTCAGACCTGGGCTTCATCATCCCCCTGCCCTGGTAAACACACAGAAATCATGTCTGTGGTGGTTCATATGTAAGATTTCAGAGACTGACATGCTAAGGAGTGTCTTGGCTTCTTTTTTAAGAGATAGATGAAGGTCAGTGGACTGCTATCTGCCATGCTGGATCCTATACTGGAGCATGGGTTTGAGTCTTGGCTGCTTTGCTTCCAATTCCAGCTCCTTACTAATGCACCTGGGAAGGCAGCAGAAGATGGCATGAGAACTTGGGCCCGTCATCTACATGGGTGACCAGGATGGAGTTCCAGACTTCTGGCTTTAGCCTGGCCAGCCCCAGCCATTGCAGCCATTTGAGGAGTGAACCAGCGAATGGAAAATCAATCTCTCTCTCTCCCTCTCTCTGTGTTTGTGTGTGTGTCTCTCTTTCTCACTCTCCTTGTCATCTGCCTTTCAAATAAATAAAATCTTTTTTTAAAGAGACAGATGGTCATCCCCTGAATATATACTTATATAGTAAAAACATTTAATTTAGATAATTTACATAAGTCCTTAGCTGATTTGCCAAAAACGTTCTACTTTAGAATCTCCCCAGCCCAAAAAACAAACAAACAAACAAACAAAAACTCTCCTGATGACTCCTAGTCTCTCTACTTCTAGTTTGTGAATGTGCTCTGGTCCTCATTAGCACAAGGCTTTGTATTTGCAGGTGCCTAGGTTGTGACTATTCATCTACCAGACACTGGCTCAAATGTCACTTTTTTTTTTTTTTTTTTTTGGACAGGCAGAGTTAGACAGTGAGAGAGAGAAAGAGAGAAATATCCTCCTTCCATTGGTTCACCATCCAAATGGCTGCCACAGCCAGCGCGCTGCGCTGATCCAAAGCCAGGAGCCAGGTGCTTCTCCTGGTCTCCCGTGCCCATGCAGGGCCCAAGCACTTGGGCCATCCTCCACCGCCTTCCCGGGTCACAGCAGAGAGCTGGACTGGAAGAGGAACAACTGAGACAGAACCCGGCGCCCCAACTGGGACTAGAACCCGGGGTGCCGGCGCCACAGGCAGAGGATTAGCCAAGTGAGCCACAGTGCCGGCCCAAATGTCACTTTCTTAACTTCACCCACTCACCCTCTCTCTATACACTACGCTAGGTCCCCACATCATAAGGAGTTAGAACACTGGGTCCCCTTCTTTTATAACATGTAGATTAAAATTGCAACCTCAATTCCATGATAAATGGGTTTATGCTTATCTTCTCCACCAAACTGTACACAGCAGGAAAGTGCAGTGGTTTTCACATCATTATAGCCCTAGGGAATGGCATAGTGACTGGCATGGGAGAGGTTTTCAAAAATATTCTCAATGAATGAAACAAACTATTTTAGAGAGGCAAAAACAGACACATTCTTCCTATTCTACTTTCAACCCAGCTACACTTCTTTGACCATACTGCCCCATTCACTAAGTAGAAAGGAGAATTTTAAAAACTCTGTTCTCCCAGGACCTACCAACAGCCTAGCCTGACATAAATACTATGTGCTTGTTGAACAAATGAATGAATGACATATACAAGTACATGAACCTGAGATATCACCATGATTACATGAAATGTTACTGCATGGATTCATAATGGAAGAAAAGGAAGAGTAATAAGTATTTGATTAATTGAAAAAAATCAGCCACTGTTTTCACGAAAGGTGATTCCCCAGCTTCCAGTGAGCAGCAGCACAGCTGAGGAGTATACAGACATGCAGCTGGCCAGACTCAAGCAAACGGAGGTGTCTATAAAAAGGATGGTTTTATGCAAATGCACACTTCTGCCTGTTCTGAACGCAGGGCATTGTTTCTCCTAAGAGAAGATTACAATTCAATCTTCTGCATTGTTCACTGTGTCTACAACATCACTTATGTATTCATTCACTGAGAAACTGCATAATAGTGTTTTTCTAACTGCAAATCACAGCCATTTGAATGTTGTGAAATCAACGTAGTGGGTTGCAACCAGAATTTTTTAATGAAATAGGATTGTTTTTCACATTCTATTTATTACATTTCAAGAAAGCAGTAAAACACTTCTGTGCATGTTTTACACATCCATATACAGGCATGTACTCAGTTGCGAAGTTAAACGTCCTTCTCACTGTGGGCCAGAGTCAAAACAAAACAAAACTGATAGCTACTGCTACAGGGAACAGGATCCAAAAGCAGACAAATGGTAAACTGATCCCAGCTCTAAAACGGATCACCTAACCACTAGCAACTTCAGTTTTTTTCTCCACAAAAGGGAGATAATAATTCTTATCTGAAGCATACATGAAAGATTAATACAAGTATTTGCATATTTTAAATATATAAAATAATATTTACTGAAACCTTACTATATCACAAGTACCATCCTTTTTAATCTCTAAAAATATTCAATAAAATAAGCACTATTAATCTCATTTTGCAGAAGAAACTTAGACACTGAGAAATGAAGTAAAACTCTTATTAAATCTTAGACTGTATCAGTGACTTTCGCATAAATAAATGGATGCTCTTATTATGATTTCCAGTAATTGTTTAATGAATCCCTACTTTAATATCTTGCACATAGCAGAAGGAATTTCACAAATATTTGCATAGGATAGAACACAGTCCCAGAACTCAGAGCACCATCCACAATAAATAAAATGCTCTAGAAACTCAAATGGGGCAGAAATTTTTCAGAAAGAAGGGTCTAAGGCAAGACCTTTGGTGATGAGGAAGATTCTGTATTTTGTGGAAAGGATTAGTAAAGGTATAACCGAAGCCAGAGACAGAAATAACTGGATATGTAGGATAACAACATATTGCAGAGGAAGTTTGTTGAGAAGTAGCTTAAGAGGACTGCATGTTATCTGGTAGCAGAAGGAAACCACTGGAGACTCTTAACAAGTGATTAATGATAAAGATAACCCCAAATAATTACAGTTTTTTAAAAGATTTATTTATTTATTTGAGAGGCAAAGTTAGAGACAGAGGGAGAGACAGAGGTCTTCCAATTGCTGGTTGACCCCCCTAATGGCTGTAACGGCCAGAGCTACACTGATCTAAATCCAGGAGCCAGGTTTCTATGCAGGTGTAGGGGGCCCAAAACACTTGGGCTATCTTCTACTGCTTTCCCAGGCCGTAAGCAGAGAGCTAGATCGGAAGAGGAGCAGCTGGGACAGGAACCGGCACCCACATAGGATGCTGGCACCACAGGCAGGGGCTTAACTTACTACGCCACAGCGCCGGCCCCGATCATAGTTTTAAAAATCATGTATTTTAACATGAAAACTAAACTTATTTTTTCAATTACCCAAGTAGAAAGCCAGCCTTGCCTTGTTTCAAGAGAAATCATGAGAATTAATAAAACATTCCTTAAACTCTAGGTTGTCTGAAAAATCCAATTATAAAAATATTTACCAATTATTATTTTTGACTAATTTATCTCACAAAGTAGTTTACCTGCATAAATCTGCTTTATTACAATAACTGTATTTTTTAGATTATAATATTTGAGGATAAGATCATATAGGTTTGAATTAATAGAGGTAACTACCGAGGTTAATAATGCCGATTCCAGGGAATGGGCATTTAGCCTAGCAGTTTAGATGCCCAGGTCCCACTCATGAGTGCCTGGGCTTGATTCCCAGCTTTGGCTTCTGACTCCAGCTTCCTACTAATGCAGATCCTCGGATGCAGTGTCATTGGCTCAAGTAATTGGTTTCCTGCCATCCACATAAGAGAGCTGGTTGTCTTCCTGCCTCCCAGCTCTGACTCAGACCCAGCCCTGGTCTTTGCAGGAATTAGGGGAGTGAACCAGGGAATGAAAGTGCTGTCTCACTCTCTGCCCTATCCCCCATCACCATGACTCTCAAATAAATAAAAAATATTTTTGAAAGGTATATTGATTCCAGCCTTTTGTCTAAAGAAAGCAGCTTATACCAATTATATATATATATATATATACACACACACGCACACACACTCAAATACCCATCAGAGTTGACTCAATATTCTAGTATTTACTTATTATGTAATGAGGCACAAGATATATATATATATATATATATAGTCAACTCTCATATGGCAATCCATCTACTGAATTTTGTTTCCTCCTGATTTCAAATTTCTATATTGTTATTTTTGCAAATATATAATATATAGCCTCATATTTAAAATTACTTGAATAAAATAAGAACTTTTAAAATTTAAAAATGGTTAAAGCTCAAGAATACATGTGGTGTCTACATTGATGTATTACGTGTTCTGGGTTAAGAAAATTTAAAAAGCGACCTTCTGAAAATTAAGTCCTTGTGCCCAGGAACAATTCTTGGGGTTTGGAACATCTTCCCAAAACAGCTTTTTCATTCTACAAAGGATAACCAAGAAATCAGGATTACAGAAAAATACTCATATTGAAAACATTAACAGTTACTGAATAGTAGAATAGAAATTAGGTCAGATTCACTTTTACATGCTATTCCATAAAGATTTCCATGAAACTTCTATGCAGACGAAGATTCATAATCACCATAATCATAAAAATAGCCAGCACTTACTGAAAATTGTGTGCCAGGCATTGTGCTAGACACTTTGCATAGGTGCTTCCCAGAAAATAAAATAAGATAAATGGCCATTAAGGGGGTGTCAGAAAGAATTGCACTTGATATGGCTCCAACCAACTCACTTGACTAAAAGATACATTCAAATTCTAAAGCTACCTCTTCCAGCTTCTTTGCTTGAACACAAAAGTTTCTACAGAGATCTGGCATACGTGAAGTACCCCATCGATCTGGCCTCCTCAGCACACAGTAGCGTGGCAGCCTGGAATCAGCCAGGAAATCCAAGGCCATCTGCCGAAAAACCAGACAGCCTGGAGCCATGCAGCTGATTTCTAAAGAGCTGGGTGCCTGCTGATCATAAACGAACTGACTGCTCCAGGTCACCCCTAAGAGCCCACTTTCAAAGTCCACTTCACCACTCAAAGTTCTCAACCCAAATTGCCGTACTCTGAAAGCCATGCCTGCCACTTTCAAGCACATATTCCCAGAATTTCCCATTATAAGCCTGTTATTTCCTTAATGTATATATGTTTAAAATTAGATTTTTTCTAGAAGTTTTAATGTGTCACAGCAAAATGAAATATTGTTTTCTGAAAACAGGTCTTCCCTTTTTATGCCATCTTAATTGTATATGGAATATATATAAAAATATTTAGAATGCTTTTTAATATTCATGACTTCAACTTCAAGTCAAGCTCTCATATGCTTAGAGGTTTCTACGATTAAGATTCTGAACATCAAATACAATACCTTTGGTGTGATATTAACAATGTCCCAAGCAACAAGACAGAAGAGGAAATAATTATTGGCACGATTACATATAGACCAGCATCATTCTGGAGTTTCTCATCATTATCTGAAAAAGAAACACAATCCACACAGCTCAGAAACTTAATAAAATCTTAATTTATTTATGCATCAAAAATTATAAAAGGCTTTTTCCTGATTTCATCATAAATCTATATTAACTTCAACTACGAAAGTAAAAAAGGAATATAAAAGTTTGCTATGATCACATTAACACAATAGCAATTTTGTTCAGTCTTACCATTCTTCAACAAGACATTCTTTCACAATGGTTGCTTTGCCAATCCTGTTCATTTGATAATTTTTAAGTTTCATGAGTCAAGGCGCTAGGTAAGCTGTGATGACTCTGTCTCAGCATCTGCTTCTGAGGAAGCCGTCCTCCGACACCTGACAGTCTGTTCACTTCAGACACACCACCTCCCTCGAAAGATGCTCGCTCACCAGGGCCCGTGTACATGATGACCCTCAGATATCACCACCACAGGAAGACCACTTAGGGTCACCCTGAGATACCCCAGTTCCACCCCAATCTTTCAATTTACTTTTATTTTCTGTGATTTTAATTCTATCTGACATCATATGGTATTAATTCCTTTGCTGCCCACCACTCCCAGTGGAGCATGGGAGTTTATGCTCTGTGATGGTAGACTTGAGATTATTCTTCAATCCCCAGTGCTCAGAACAGTACTCAATAAGTACTTGCCGAATAATATATAAGTGGGTTTTTAAGATTTGATTCTCAAAGCAGAGGAAACATTTCTCCCTTGAAACTTCACTGCTGTTTTCTTGGATTTGAAGAAAATCTAAAGAGTGATAATGCCATCAAAATGCTGCCACTTCAAACGTGGCAAGATGAATCAGAAATACAAGAGGCCCAGCGTACTCACTTCTCTATCTCTCCGGAATTACTCTTAGAGGAAAACACAGTTTCTCTTGAAATACCCCGGGATGTGTCCACACAGGGTACATCCAGGATTCCATCAGAAAGAGTAAGATGAGGGTAACATTACTTCTAACAAATCAGGAAACACAAATCAGAGTAAAAAGAACAAGTGAAGGATTTACCTTGGGTGAAACTATTAATTATCTTTGGTTTTCCCACTCCTTCCATAAATATTGGATAAAGACTGAACTGATATTTCTCAATGGGGATAAAATTATCTGAGGAGAAAAACATAGCAAAGGCTCATTTATACCAAATTAACATAAATGAGTAGAACTTTTTTTTTTAAAAGGAAGCAAGTATCCTTTATATCCAAACATACAAACTGAATTGATGATCTAGGGAGTTGCAAAAATAACCTAAGTAGTTCAGATTCTCTAGCAATAACAGTAATTTTCAAACACTTTTTGGGGAATCTTCTCCAGGGATAGAAGACTGCAATGTTCCAAGGTCATAAAGCAGTGACAGGTCAGGTTCAGGATGTAAAAGCTGTTTCTTTCCCTCATTTCCTTTCCAGGACAACATGCCCTTTCTCCTCTCCTTTATCCCCAAAGCAGGTAATATTTCCTTTTTTTTAGAAAACATAGTTTACTTAGTTTCTGCATTCAACAAGATTGAGAAATCCTATGAGGAGATGCAGGTGAAGAACAGGCGTCCAAATGGTCATCCCTGTAGCAAAGCTCAAAATTGATCCAGCGATGATTTTTACAAACACTAAAGATACACAAATATTTCTCCGAAAGAGAAGTGTCTCTTTGAAGCCAACATTCTGTAGCCCCAAGGCTTAAACAAAAGCATGAAGAGTAACCTCCCAGACAACAATGGTAATGAACTGAACTCAGCTCTCTATCAATAATTGGTAAATAAATTTATCCTAACCTCTAGGTCTCTGGCATGCAGCAGAGGTGTAAGTCCTTGGAAACGTACCATATAATAGAATCATGGCAATCCTGAGCTTCCTACTTAACTTTAAGTCTAAACTCAAACTTGGAGATGTTGTATGGTGTACTTATATGAGGGTGCTTCATATTCAAAAAAGTTTGTGGAAATACAGAATTAAGAGATGTTTATTTTGGAGCAAAAGTTTTTTGAACCCACGCACAGTTTTCTATAATACTTTGTGAAGACCACTTGCAAGCATGGAAATAAAAAACTTCTTGCACCAAAACAAACATATCTCTTAATTCCATTTACTACAAACTTAGGAAGTACCTTATCCTGTGCACTCTACTTACCTCTTGGTATAACTAGTCTACCTTTGCGAGATTACACTGACATAGCTCAGGTGCTAGATCCTCAGGCCTTCAGCCCAGCACTCCCACTCATTGCTAGTGATATTATAGGTTGACACACAGTTAGGGATACAATTTGGCAGTAGATAACAGAAGCCATTTTAAAAATGGCTTTTTAAAAGGTAACTCTGGAAGCAACATAGATAATATTAAATCAATCAATAAATATATTTTGGAGCGAAATGTTATATTATCATTAAAAATAATGACAGAAGGGCAGATACTTCATTTAGTGGTTAAGATGTCAGTGAAGATGCTTGTGTCCCATATCGGAGTGGCCTGGCTCGACTATCTGGTTCCGACTTTTGACTTCTGCACCCAGGAAGGCAGCAGTGATGGCTCAAGTAACTGGGCCCTGGCCACCCACGTGGGAGACCTGGAATGAGTTCCCAGGTCCCAGCATTGGCCCCAGTCAAGGACAGCTGAAGGCAGCTAGGGAGTGACCCAGCAAATGGACACTTTCTCTCTCTGTGTCTGTTCGCATCTCTCTGTCTCTTTAAATGTTTAAATCTCGGCCTCTCAAATAATAAAATTTAAAAATAAGCACTCAACATTAAAGTACATTAAAAATATTAATAGCAGAAAGTACAGAAAGAAAACACATAACATAATTACAAGTGTAACAAATAGTGTGAAAACAACCAAAGGAAACAATTAAATGCTGTGACTAGGTGATAGGATCATACGTATTAAGATGATGGTATCTTCTACAGTTTTGAAGTCTTAACTCACTGGCTATATTATTTGAATTAATAATGTTCAGTATCACACTAATCCATGAAAGTAAGTAATTAAAGCAGCGTAAACTCACCATGGATAGAATACTTCTTAACAGATGAAGGGATTCTAAGCCACTTGATTTCATTATCTTCATTAAGGTTTTTCCATTCAATGATAAAATACATTAGGTTGTAGTCACTGGGCAATGGTATCCAGGACAGAATCACACAACTGCTGTTTAAAGGATAAGCACTGAGTGACTGCACGGTATTTACTGAGGGGAAAAGAAGGAAATTTATTTTTAAATTCAAAATTAATAATAATCTACTCTTACTCTCAGAACTTACTGTATACTGGGGGAGGGGGAAGGACAAGAAGGCAGACAATTTACACAAATAATGTAACACATGGAGATTATTCTTGTATCATGAGAGTTTATATAAGCAGAGAAACCTAGGCATATACAACATTGAAGAGAAACACGATTCTACTCAAAAATCTAAAAAAAGGAACTTTGTGATATCATCCGGAAAGTGGTCTCAGAAAGTTTAACAGGCCTGTTAAGCACCCTCTCTGATTCACTTTAAATTCCTGAGAGAGTGATGCTTTCACAGCACAAATCCATCCATCGCAATGTTCTCTGCACAGAATCCCAGTTAAAACCCTCCAAACTGATGTCCACATTGGAAGGTAAAATTCCTACCACTGCTCCTAGGCCCCAAGGACCAAGTATCAACCTCCCTCTCCACTTCTCTCCGTTCTCCACAATGAAGCCACCCTGGTCTTCATTTCCTTTGCTACATCATGAAGACTTCTGCTCAGGCTGTTCCTTCATCAAAGCCAGTACTCCACCCCCACCCCCACCCCCACTGCAGGTTCTCACTCAACCCCAAGTCCTCAAGGTGGCTTTTCTGGCCTATAATGCCAACTCAGGATCCTTTTCTCTTTTCTTTTCTAAAATTATATTCCTTTCCCAAGGATACTTATCTCAGTTTGTAAATATTAGATTATTTGATTAATATCTGTCACACCGGCCAGCGCTGCGGCTCACTAGGCTAATCCTCTGCCTGCAGCGCCAGTACACCGGGTTCTAGTCCCGGTTGGGGTGCCGGATTCTGTCCCAGTTGCTCCTCTTCCAGTCCAGCTCTCTACTGTGGCTGGCCACAGTACTGTGGAGGATGGCCCAAGTGCTTGGGCCCTGTACCCACATGGGAGACCAGGAGAAGCACCTGGCTCCTGGCTTCGGTTGCAGTGCTGGCCATAGTGGCCATTTTGGGGGTGAACCAACGGAAGGAAGACCTTTCTCTCTGTCTCTCTCTCTCTCACTGTCTAACTTTGCCTGTCAAAAAAAAAATCTGTCACACCCGCCAGCACTGCGGTTCACTTGGCTAATCCTCTGCCTGTGGCGCTGGCACCCCGGGTTCTAGTCCCGGTTGCTCCTCTTCTAGTCCAACTCTCTGCTGTGGCCCGGGAAGGCAGTGGCAGATGGCCCAAGTACTTGGGCCCTGCACCCGCATGGGAGACCAGGAGAAGCACCTGGCTCCTGCCTTCGGATCAGCGCGGTGCGCTGCCGCAGTGCCCAGGCCCACAGCGGCCATTTGGGGGGTGAACCAATGGAAGGAAGACCTTTCTCTCTGTCTCTCTCTCTCTCACTGTCTAACTCTGCCTGTCAAAAAAAAAAAAAAATCTGTCACACCAATTAGACTGAAGGGACTGAAGGCTGTGACCATTATAGATTTTCTCACGTTGGCATTCCCATCACCCAGCACAACAACGCAACTTAGAGTTCCAAGTATATTTATCAAAAAGTTCTGAAGTGTAAAAACCTTGTGCTGGGTGCTGTGTAACTTACAAATAACTTATACTGTAAGTACAACAGTAATCATAATATAAGGCAGGATATAAAATACCCTAATTGTGGTAGAAAGCACTCTGAGATTCATAAAAAGAGACAGTGCATAATTAGTTGAAGCAATAAGTAAAGCCTTTATGGTGAAGGTTAACAATTGAGAATGCCTTTATTGGTTGGTAGGGATACAGAAATTGTATTTTCCATAAAATTTACACTTTAAATATATAAACAGATTACAGACTCCCACAGAAAGCTGTACTCAATTCTCTGATTCATAAAACATACCAAAATGAGGGAAAAATCATTCTCCAATCACAGTAAATGAAGCCCACAGTAATTTTTAAGTCTCAAATTTAACTAGCATTCATATAACTTATCATATTGGTTTTATACATATATATGATAATACTTCAAAAAGCTCATAGAAAAATAAATACCAGATAAATTAATTTTAGTATAAATTTTTAATAATACACATTTCTGTGAACTTTCTGAAGTATCTTCATATATAATACTATATATATATATGAACTTATTTCTACATATTTATTTATATGCTTATATATATATATAGAGAGAGAGAGAGGGAGAGAGAGAGAGACATTGACCTACAATCTTCAAAGGCTTAAGTATTAGATTTATTAGAACATTTTCATTTATTATAATACCATGTTAATAACATTTTACCAAATGGAATCCCAAGGACTGCATTACATACCAATGAAAAATGCATTTTTCTATTTTTCAGACAGAGACCAGGAAGAGTAAAAGATACACTCTCAGATTCAGATAATTTCAGGCTCCTGGGACAGTGTGAGAGGTTTCCAAAGCCTAAGCAATACAAGGGGAAATGGATTACACCTCAATGGATTTCTACTCTACCTCTTACCTTTGCTCACAGGCCATGAGAAAGTTAAATTAAAATTGGAAGACGAAGCACCAATTGAATTGATGGCCACAACTGTAACCGTATGCACCTGTTCTGCCCAAATAAAAGTGAATCTGGTGTGATTTCCCACATCTTCAGACCATGTTCCATTGTGGGAAGTGTAATGGTTTACCACATATCTGCTCACACTGCACAGTGAGTCACTTTTCATCAGGGGCTGCAGGAAACACAAAAATGTATTAGTTTCAGGGCTGCAGTGCTTCTTATACCCAAACAACTCAGGGAACTCTGAGAGTACATTTGCACAGAAGGCAGGAGTCAGATCAAGGCCAACACAGCCTGTTAAAAACGCTCATGGGCCGGGAAAGTGAGAGGGAAAGAGGCTGCCTCTGACCACCGTCTTTGCAGAGCTGTCTGGGTGGCTATGGAGCACACAAAAGTTACTTTCCCTATCTTGGTTTTTTTTTTCTTAAGAAAAAAAGCCGGCGCTGTGGCTTAGTGGGTTAAGCCGCCACCTGCAGTGCCAGCTTCCCATATGGGCACTGTTCCAGTCCTGGATGCTCCACTTCCTATGCAGCTCTCTGCTATGGCCTGGAAAAGCAGCAGAAGATGGCCCAGTGCTTGGGCCCCTGCACCCACGTGGGATACTGGAAGAGGCTCCTGGCTCCTGGCTTCAGATTGGCGCAGCTCTGGTCATTGCAGTCAATTAGGAAGTGAACCAGCTAATGGAAGACCCCTCTCTCTCTCTCTCTCTCTCTCTCTCTCTCTGCCTTTCCTTCTCTCTGTAACTCTGACTTTCAAATAAATAAATAAATCTTTTAAAAAATGTAATAGATCACTTGAAGATAATGAAGTAAGAATAGAATGTAGGAGCAGACTCATAGAATACCGGATGTCCTAAACAGCACTCTGGCCTCAGAATCAGCCCTTAAGGCATTCGGATCTGGCTGAAGAGCCCATGAGAGTATTTCAGGCATGGAAAGCCAAGACACTCTGGCACATATGCAGCTAATACAGACAATGAGAAAATAGTAACTCTAAATGAACGATCTCTGTGAGTGAGATCCCAGTGGAAAGAACAGGTCATCAAAGAAGGAGGTACCTTTCTCTGAAGGGAGGAGAGAACTTCCACTTTGACTACGACCTTGTCCAAATATGATCAGAGTCGGCGAACTCAAAAGGCTTCCATAGCCTTGGCAACTCATGACAAGAGCCTTGGGTGATCACTGACGCCATAAATAAGAGTGTCAATTTGTTAAGTCAACAACAGGAGTCACTGTGCACTTACTCCTCATGTAGGATCTCTGTCCTTAATGTGTTCTTCAATGTGAATCAATGCTATAACTAGTACTCAAACAGTATTTTTCACTTTGTGTTTCTGTTTGGGTGCAAACTGTTGAAATCTTTACTTAATATATACTAAACTGATCTTCTGTATATAAAGAGAATTGAAAATGAATCTTGATGTGAATGGAAGGGGAGAGAGAGTGGGGGGTGGGAGGGAAGTTACGGAGAGGGGGGAGCCATTGTAATCCATAAGCTGTACTTTGGAAATTATATTCATTAAATAAAAGTTAAAAAAAAATAAAGGAGACAACCTCTAATTAAAGCCAGGCAAAAAAAAATCAGCAAAAAAAAAAAAAATCTATTATGGTGCTACATGTTGGAAGACTGAAGACGAATACTATGAAGAGATTTTTCTAATGTCATAAATCTAGCCAATGACAGGGAAAGGACTCAAATTCAGGACTGTGGACTCCGATTTATCATTCATTGCCCTAAAACTAGCATAAATCTTGTTTGTTTAAATTTATCTCATGTGTTCTGTACTATGTACTTTGCAGGTATTATCTTAGTTAATCTTGAATGCAAAGTACTGGATGTTGATAATGGAGGAGGCAATGCATTATGTAGCGCCTGGGGTGTATGTGAAAACTCTGTACCTCACTCTCAATTGTGCTGTGAAATGAAAACTGCTTTTAAAAAATCTTTGAAAAAAAAGAATACAATGTGGGGGTGCGCTGTCGAGTAGTAGGTAAAGCCACTGTCCCCAGTGCTGGTATCCCATATAGATGCTGGTTCAAGTCTGGCTCCTCCACTTCCAATCTAGCTGGCCTGAGAAAGCAGCAGAGGATGGCTCAATTCCTTGGGCCTCTCCACCCACATGGGAGACCTGGAAGAAGCTCCTGGCTCTTGGTTTCAGCTTGGCCCAGCTCCAGCAGTTGTGGCTACTTGGGGAGTGAACTAGCAGAGAGAAGACCTCTCTCTCTCTCTTAACTTTGCCCACCAAATAAATAAATAATATTTTTTTAAAAAATAATACAATTAGGACATTTTTCTGCTAACATGTTTTACTTAGAAAAAAAAAGCACTGATGGGTAGAATTTTCTCATCTAAAAAGCAAACAAGGAAGAGCCTTCAAATTCTGTTAACAAGGAGGAGCTGAGATGGTGCATATCATCATGTGTATTAATCTAGCAAGATCTGTCACTCATTTCCCTTCCTCTGACATGCTTAGATTATTTATAATGGTAGGAGTTTGCAAAGGTTAACAAGCACCCCAGTGAATACAGCAACCCAGAATTTCTGTCTTACAGTTAAACAACTCATTCCAGTCCCTGAAGATTCCAGTATAAAACATGTATCTAGTCCAATTCTGTTTTCCATTTTACAGAATTCTACAATATAGCTTCCTCCTCCATTCACCTTCACTTGTTGCTGGTAGCATTACTAGCAATTCATAGAAAGGCAGAGAAAGCTGGACTCAATACCTCACACTACAACACTGCTTTTGTTTGTTTGCCATCGAGATATCTCCAAGTAAGAAGGGCAGAGAAAAATAAACATACGCACATGTATCCCATCACAATGTGCAATCATCTGAGTAGGCTGGGACAAAGATTTTAGCAGTCACAGCAAGAAACGTCTCCATTCAAATTTTGTATTTTATTTAAAGATCCATGTCAATTTTAATAGACAAATACTTATTTTGTAACCATCAGGTAAAAATAATGATAAACATCGTTATCTTCTGGTTCTATAAGATGTTCCAGGCTCATTTGATATAGTTCCTGCCCCAACACTAAAATTAACCATTTCTCCCCAAAGCTGTTTCCTCTTAACAATGACATTAGAGGGGCGCTGTGGCACAGTGGGTTAATGCCCAGGCCTGAAGCGCCAGCATCCCATATGGGTGCCGGTTCGAGTCCCGGCTGCTCCTCTTCCAATCCAGCTCTCTGCTATGGCCTGAGAAAGCAGTAGAAAATGGCCAAAGTCATTGGGCCCCTGCACCCGCGTGGGAGACCCAGAAGAAGCTCCTGGCTCCTGGCTTCGGATCGGTGCAGTTCCGGCAGTTGCAGCCAATTGGGGAGTGAACCAGTGGGTGGAATACCTCTCTCTCTCTGCCTGTCCTCTCTCTGTGTAATCTGACTTTCAAATAAATAAATAAATCTTTAAAAAAATAATGATATTAGAAATAAAACTATGAGTGCATGCTGCTTATTACTTAGCCGTGTCATTACTTTTAGGCCCTCTTAGTTTATAATCAAAGAAATGTGTGTATATACTAATCCTTGTATATATACATATCTCTAAGTATTCCTATAAGAAATTGTCTGGGGGCCGGTGTTGAGGCATAGTGAGTAAAGCCCACAGCCTGTGACACCAGCATCCCATATGGGTGCTGGTTCATGTCCTGGCTGTTCCACTTACAATGGAGCTCCTTGCTAATGCACCTAAGAAAAGCAACAGAAGATGGCCCCAGTATTTGGGTCCTTGCCATCCATGTGGGAAACACAGATGAAGCACCTGGCTCCTGGTTTCAGCCTGGCCTATCACTGGCTGTGGCAGTCATCTGGGGAGTAGACTAGTGGATCTCGATCCCTCTCCCCCACACCCAGCCTGTGATTCTTTCAAAATAAACAAACAGAGAGAGAGAGAGAGAGAGAGAGAGAGAGAGGAGAGAGGGAGGGAAGGAAGAGAGAGGGAGGAAAGAGGGAGGGAGGAAGGGAAGGAGGGAGGAAGACATTGACTGTACTAAGCTAAATATGTGTTCATGTCGATGTCTCCAACTCTAATCTGTCACCACATGACCATCCTGGCACTATTCCCTTGCTTGCTTGTAACCTCTCACTCCTACAGTGAAGAACTTCTATCACACCATTCACTATCCATTTTACTTAACTGCTCCATTCCAAGATACATGTATAGTGGTATAAAAATTGTTAACCCATTATTCCATGAAATATATATATCAACTGGAATACAGCACTTGTGTAGCTTCTTTTGTCCCTAATTTTTAAGATTCTAGGCATTTCCAAAGTTTCTCCTGCCACCTTCAGTGAAGTTGTTTCACACACTCGCAATGAAGTTAGATGCCCTTGTCCCAGCCTGCATTCCATCCCAGGAGCCTCCAGCCTCGTCAATGGCTTTTTTAACTACACGCATTAAGGTTTACTCTTTGTACTATAAAGTTCTACAGTATTAATAAATGCATGGTTCTACATACCTAAAATTTCAATATTATACATGAGAGTTTCATTTTTGAAGGATATCTTGGTTGCTTCCCGTTTTCAGTGATTGTGAACAAAGCTACTTGAACACTCACATGCAAGCTTTTACATAGATGTAAGTTTTCAAATCACCTGAAAAAATACCTGAGAGTGCAATGCCGCAATAACGTATCATAATGTTGCATTAACTTTAAGAGACTACCAAACTGCCTTCCAAAGTGGCTGTACCATTTGCTTTTCTACCCGTAGTAAGTAAAAGTTCTATACCCTGCATTCTCACTAGCAATTTGCATTGTCAACTGTTTGGATATTAGCCATTCTAATAGGTATGGAGTCATATCCATTGCTAATTGGAAATTCGTTTATAACAAATGATGTTGAAAATCTTTTAATATATTTCCCATCTGTATATCTACTTTGGTTAGGTGTCTGTTCAGATAGTTGGCCCATCTGTAACTTTTCTATTTGCTTGCCTATTGTTCAATTTTAAGTTCTCTGTGTAATCTAGTAATCAGGTACATGCTTTGGAAATATGCTCACATAGTTTATGCCTTATCTTTTCACTCTTTTTTTTAAAGATTTTTATTTATTTGAGAGGTAGAGTTACAGACAGTGAGAGGAAGAGACAGAGAGAGAGGTCTTCCTTCCATTGGTTCACTCCCCAGATGGCCACAATGGCCAAAGCTGCACCAATCTGAAGCCAGGAGCCAGGAGCTTCTTCCTGGTTTCCCACGCGGGTGCAGGGGCCCAAGGACTTGGGCCATCCTCTACTGCTTTCTCAGGCCATAGCAGAGAGCTGGATTGGAAGAAGAGCAGCTGGGACTCGAACCGGCGCCCATATGGGATGTGGACGCGCAGGCGGATGATTAACCTATTGTGCCACAGTACCGGTCCCTCTTTTCACTCTCTTGATAGCTTTTCACAGAACAAAACTTTTTAATTTTAATAAAGCAATTTGTCGGGGCTGGCACTGTGGTGCAGTGGGTTAATGCCCTGGCCTGAAGCGCCGGCATCCCATATGGGAACCAGTGCCCACGTTGGATGCCAGTGCTGCTGGAGGTTGCTTTACTGGCCTCCATAAACTCTTATAAACCTCAATTTTTACTTAGGAATTAATCATAGATCAGAAAACCATTTTCAAATGTGCTCATTCAATCTTGGGAATTAAACTAAAATTCTGCATTTAAATTTCACGTGTAAGGTATCAAAAACAGTATTTTACTTCATGTGCCTTATTTCCAAATCAATCTCAAATTTGGTATCTGCTGACCCAATAATCTATTCCCTGGTGATAGAAATCAATTCATTTGGGAGAGAGAATTACTAGGCAGAATTCCCAGAGTTTATGGTAACAGTCATTGTTATACATCATCAAACACACAGAATAATCTCTTATGTTTTAGATATCTTTGAAGTATGTAAGTAAGGTCATGTTTATATTGCTCAGGATTAAACATGAATAATATTTTGAACTCAAAGTAATACAAGATATCATCTAGGCCAAGCTTACATTTATACAGCTGACAAAATTGAGGCTCAACAATTCTAAATAACTTTTCCAAAACAGTACTGACATAACTATAGTACATTGAAACGGAATTATTATCTCCTAATTCCATGCCAAAGCTCCAGATGCCCTACTCTTAGCTGTCTGCTATCAAATCTCAAAAATGAAATGAAAACATAGGATTGCAGAGTGTTCTGGAGATTAATAATGACAGGATTATCTTTTAAGAGCATGAAAGTAAAACTTAAGAATAATATAAGAAGCAGGAATACCTTCCACAGTAAGGTGACATTTCTCTCCTTTTTAGTAACATCTCCATCAATTATTCTCCAAAATTCAGGTCCTCTCACAGGAACTGCAAAATTGACAAGGAGCCCAATTGTTAATGTCTTTTTAGAAGGAATATTTTCCAGCCAAATATAAAAGATATCTGTATGCACTTTCAAGACACAGCTGCAAAATCTCTGCTGACCTTTCACATCCTTGACAACAGTGTAGGCTGGCTTGCTCCAATTACTCCAATATCCTAGTCCATCTAACCTCTTGCAGCGCACCTGAGCAGCATAGACGGCACACAGGTCTGGTACTGACAGATTGGCAGACTTTGATTTTGAATCATGTACCTCAAACACCTGTAAAATAAGCCAAAGCATTAAACTCATGGCTACTGCACACAAGTATCTAAAGGGTCCTGATGTGCATTTAATCTTTTTTTTTAAATATTTTATTTATTTGAAAGCAGAGTTACAGAGAGGCAGAGGCAGAGAGAGAGAGAAGTCTTCCATCTACTGGTTCATCCCTGAATGACCACAACAGCCGGAGCTGAGCTGATCCGAAGCCAGGAGCTTCCTCCAGGTCTCCCATGTGGGTGCAGGGGCCCAAGCACTTGGGCCATCCTCTACTGCTTTCCCAGGTCACAGCAGAGAGCTGGGTCGTAAGTGGAACAACTGGGATTTGAACCGGCACTCATATGGGATGCCAGCACTGCAGGCAGTGGCTTTACCCGCTACTCCACAGCGCTGGCCCCATGCATTTAATTTTTTTTTTTTTTTGACAGGCAGAATGGACAGTGAGAGAGAGAGAGACAGAGAGAGAAAGGTCTTCCTTTTGCTGTTGGTTCACCCTCCAATGGTCGCCGCAGCCAGTGCATCCCACTGATCTGGAGCCAGGAGCCAGGAGCCAGGTGCTTCTCCTGGTCTCCCACGTGGGTGCAGGGCCCAAGCACTTGGGCCATCCTCCACTGCACTCTTGGGCCACAGCAGAGAGCTGGCCTGGAAGAGGGGCAACCGGGACAGAATCTGGCACCCCAACCGGGACTAGAACCTGGGGTGCTGGCGGCGCAGGCGGAGAATTAGCCTATTGAGCCGTGGTGCCGGCCAGCATTTAATCTTTTTTTTTTTTTTTTTTTTGACAGGCAGAGTGGACAGAGAGAGAGAGTGAGAGAGAGAGAGAGAGAGAGACAGAGAGAAAGGTTCTTCTTTTGCCTTTGGTTCACCCTCCAATGGCCGCTGCGGCCGGTGCACCGCGCTGATCCGATGGCAAGAGCCAGGTGCTTCTCCTGGTCTCCCATGGGGTGCAGGGCCCAAGCACTTGGGCCATCCTCCACTGCACTCCCGGGCCATAGCAGAGAGCTGGCCTGGAAGAGGGGCAACCGGGACAGAATCCGGCGCCCCGACCAAGACTAGAACCCCGTGTGCCGGCACCGCAAGACGGAAGATTAGCCTATTGAGCCACGGTGCCAGCAGCATTTAATCTTATACTTGAACAGTTCCCCACAACCAAGAGGGAACTGATGTTGTGTTTTCTACCTTCAGAAATAGTCCCATCAGGTTTGGATTGTGAGTCCTTTCAAGTCAAGCATTTTTCTTATTCATTGTGTCATTACCTTTCTGATGGCAATGAGATTTTGGACTGGTTCACTTACAACCTCATTCTCTGACCCCACCACTTATCTTTGTCTACAATGACCTTTAAGAATGTTAACTCAGTAGTTAGAACACACTGTGGAGAATCTCTGGTATCCAGTTTCCTTCAAAAAGCAGGCATTTCATTGTATTCATTTCAGTTATAATCACTGTGATCTAATGGCATAGTTAGGGTTCCTGACACTTGAAAGTCTTTGTAGGCTGCTGTCACAGAGCCAACATGGGAAGCTACAATGTGCACACTTGCCACCATGACTCTGATTCCAGATGTTTAATGCAGCTTCTTCCAAAATGCAGCCCACTGAGCCTATGCATACTGATGGATGTTAAAAGACATTAGAGGAAAAAGACTGCCTTGGAAAAATGGGTTTAGGGAACCTGGGTAAAACAGTTATGAAAGTTTCTTCAATGTAGAAACTTCTCCAAAACTTTAAAAAAATGGCGGCTCACTAGGCTAATCCTCCACCTGTGGTGCCAGCACCCCAGGTTCTAGTCCCAGTTGGGGTGCCGGATTCTGTCCCGATTGCTCCTCTTCCAGTCCAGCTCTCTGCTGTGGCCCGGGAGTGCAGTGGAAGATGGCCCAAGTGCTTGGGCCCTGCACCTGCATGGGAGACCTGGAGGAAGCACCTGGCTCCTGGCTTCGGATCAGCACGGTGCACTGGCCGTGGCAGCCATTTGGGGAGTGAACCAACGGAAGGAAGACCTTTCTCTCTGTCTTTCTCTCACTGTCTAACTGCCTGTCCAAAAAAAAAAAAAAAAAAATATATATATATATATACTGTGACTCTACACTAGGATGACACAGCAACGCAGCTTGCTCCTTATTTCAAGGAAATCTTTATGGGAGCAATTATCTGGGATACATATCACGGGAAATTTTTGCTCTTTAAAAGGGCTAGACTTTGTTTAAACTACTTAATGAAAATAGCTATAGAATACAGAAGGGCATCCTTGAAATACTATCATTAAAAATGTTAAACATACAAGAAATAGCATTTCATGAGGCAAGTTGAAGAACGCTCTAAGTAATCTACCTTCCATTGCTTTTCATTTCCACTTAAGCCATAGCGGATCTGGAACTGGAGATTATTCTCTGGAAAGACTGGCTTTTCCCAAGATAGCTTCAGTAAGCCAATGTTTACAGTGATTTCTGCTTTTACAATGGATGGAGGCAACGGTTTCACTAGAAATTTGAAAAACACTATTATACAAAACAGTAACATGCTCAAATGCATTGCTTTATTTTTATAACTTACTATTTAGAAAGCAGTATCTATTTTTGAAAACTTATTCATTCTCTTATTTGATCCCCTAAAACTTTTGTGACACATAAGAAAAGGACTATCTCTATTTTTCAAAAAAAGAGGTTAATAGAAAAAAATCAGTACACTGCCCATGTGACTCTGCAAATTAAGTCATTTCTGACTGGAAATTGAGACACTGGTTTTTACACGCAAAAGCTATCATACTGAATACATAATAAATATCAATAGGAAACATTTTCTATCCAGAGCTGTAATTAAAAGCAAAAAAAATCCACTGCATCAATTTCCACATGTATGAATTTCAAACTCTTTTGCTACCATTGAGTATTTTTGGTCAAAATCAGAGATAGTGTCTCAGCATAAAACCTTGATATTTTTTACAGTCTGAGGAAAACAAGCTTTTAATGGGCAGATACAGAGATAAAGATGATCTGAATAGCAAGTGATTTTTAAAAAATAATTACATTTATACATCCATAAGTAATTATACACACCCAAACAAAAGGTATAATGGAAAAACCACAGAAATGCAAAGAAAAGAGTCATCTTTCTTCTTTTTCCTTTTGTTTAACCAAGATTTATTTATCTATTCAAAAGACAGAGTTACAGAGGGAGAGGAGAGACACATACACACACACAGACATTGATCTTCCATCAGCTGGCTCACTCCTCAAATGGCTGCAACAACCAGTGCTGGGCCAGGCCAAAGCCAGGAGCCAGGAGCTTCTTCCGGGTCTCCCACATGGGTGCAGGGGCCCAATACCTTGGGCCATCCCCAGCTGCTTTCCTAGGCACATTAACAGGGAGCTGGATGGAAAGTAGAGCCAGCCAGGATTTAAACAGGTACCCATATGGGATGCTGGTGTCACAGGCAGCGGCTTTACCTGCTATACCACAATATTGGCCCCTATCTTTCTTCTTTTCTTATCCCTTATTTATGCTACTGATCTCAGAACTAAAGTCAAAACATTAGTTCAGGCTTCTGTCCACTACACAAAGGGTCCTCAAATTCTTAATAGTTTACTTGGAGAGCCCTTTCTAATAGTAAAAGGCAACACAGAAACTCAACATATTTACAACTCAGAGCCTGGGCACAGCAGGGAGCCTCTGGCACTCCTGACCTCATCCTGACTCAGTGTCTCCGTCTCAGTGCTGAACTCCATAGTCCTGCCTGGATTCTCTGCACCAAGTGAGCATTCCTTTGCAGAGGACACATCATCAACTGGTTAAACCAGCTGTTAACATTTTAAGTAGCTCCTCATCAACTAGAAAAACTGTTCTCCTGGGAACAACGCTGTAGAAACGATCTCACATTGGATCAATTAAGCAACTTTATCCTACATTTAAGAAAACGTAGGTTTTAATTCAAATATGAACTAACTAAAAAACAATAACATTGATTTTTGGCAGAATTTCCTAACAGTACCTAGCACCATAATCTTTCCTTCCTAGTGCACAATCATTAGTGGGTCACATCTCTAAGATTTCACAATGATATTAGATCTTTCTTGATCCTTTAAAAACAAAGTATCTTTTGAAAAGAATGTTTTAAATAGCATGATGAATGTTATCATTCTTATCTATTCTTTCCACTTCACTTTAGTTTTTTCAATTCCTTCTGCTTCCAATCCAGTCACATCAATTAAAGCCTTCAGTTATGACCACTCAGATTACACTTGAAATATCCAGTTTAGGGGCCTGCATTGTGGCATAGTGTTAAGCCACTGCCTATGACACCAGGGTCCCATATGGGCCCCAGTTCATGTTCTGGCTGCTCCACTTCTGGTCCAGTTCACTCCTAATGGCCTTGGAAAGCATTAGAGGATGTCCCAAGTGCTTGGGCCCCTGCCACTGAAATGGGAGACCCAGAAGAAGCTCCTGGCTTTGGCCTGGTTCAGCCCTGGCCACTGAGGCCATTTGAGGAGTGAACCAGCAGATGGGAAATGTCTCTCTTTTTCTGCCTCTCCCTCTCTCTCTCTCTGTAACTCTGACTTTCAAGTAAACAAATAAATATATAAAATCTGTTTTAAAAAATCAGTTTAGATTTTGAGATATTACCAGATGACTTTTGAAAATATCAAATGTTTTCCTAAGTCCACTGGAAGAACACATATAATAGTGCATTATTTATAAAAACATTATTAAATTTAGTTCACAGTGACTCATGTTTATTCATCAAGAAACATCTTAAAAGTACTCCAATTGCTGAAAAAGTATGCTATTAATAATTTAAAATGAACTCAAAACTGTAAAACTTTCTCAGACTGATTATCATCTTAATTCCATTGTAAACTGGAACACTTTTTTTTTTCCAAAATCTAGTGTGATCAGAAAATGGCAAAATACATTTTTAAATAATCCTGAATCTGTACCCAAATCTGCTGATAAAAATGAAGGCACACAACACAGTTTCACATACCTACAGAATCAGGAAGGACACACGTTGGTGGAGAGTCAAGTGAACCTAACGAGTGGTTGACCCTAATCCACATTGTGTAACCAGATAATAGGAAGATTGGCTGAAAAATGCACTCATAAAAACCATCCCTCTGCAAATGGCACTCTTTGGGTTCAGATATGGGATGAATAGATGGAATATCAGAACAATAAAGGCTGCTCCTTGAGAGAAACAAAAGTAGTCAATTAATATACAACATGGCTAAAAACAATATTGGAGAATACTGATTTTTTTTTCATTTAAAATAGAGACTTTTTTGCTCCATCTCGAAATAGATGTCCTGACTAGAAAAGCAGTCTTTTTTTTAAAAAAAAAATTTTATTTATTTGAGAGGTAGAGTTACGGACAGTGGGAAGGAGGGAGAGAGAGAAAGGTCTTCCGTCTGCTGGTTCACTTGAATTCCCAGTTATATCCCGATTTTATGTCTTTCCATAGAAACAGATAATAACTTATTAAATATTCCATTAGACACTAAGTGGGGATGCAGTGAAACAAGTGTCCTATCAAGGAGATAATGAATTAATTAGAGATAGAACCTACAATAGTTTGAAAATTAAACTGTTAGTATATATTAATAAAACAATTTTAGAAGTATAGCCAAAGGTAATAGAGCATTCCTGGCATGGAAGAAAGGCAAATTCTTCACACCGTTAAGTAGGGACTTAAATTCCACCACACATTGAAAATGTAACTGACAACAATTATAGCTCAATTAATGGTGCACTCCTGTTTTCAAGTTCAAATTAATATGCTTGAAATAATTCCAATCCTTGATATGTGTATGAAGCATATAGCCCAATATACTGAGAAGAAAAGTTTTTAAAAATATTTTCTAAAAGAGTCCAAATCAACACTCCACTGTGGGGAGCAACTTGGACTAGCTAAGTTACTGGAATTAAGACTTATTCTATGCATCTGCTCTCCCACAATATGGCGCTGAGAAGGGAGTAACAACTTCTACGCAGCTGCCTCTCGCCAATTTGATTGACTGAGCTGCAGGAGCTGATCTTGCTCCTGATTGGAGGAGTGCAGCGTACTCGGCGTGTGGGTAGCAGAGTTGGGATTGGTGGAAGAGGACTATAAAGGAGGAGAGAGACAACATGCACGAGGAACATCTATCTGAATGAACACCTATGCAGCCCCCGAGAGAGCCGGCCGGCAGTGTGCCGCTCCCCCGCAGAAGTGGGGAAAGCGGCAGGGGGAACTGCCCTTCCACGGAGGTGGAAGGGACGGTAGCCAACCTGGGAAGAACCAGCAGCAAACCCAGGGAGGGCCGAGCAGACAAAAGAACAGCACAGGGTTTAGTGTCATTCCTCCGCGAAGAGGGGGAGTGACATAATGGTGCCGTGACTCGGATAGGAAGCCTAGGCAGGGTTTAGTGTCGTTCCTCCATGAAGAGGGGGAGCGACATAATGGTGCCGTGACTTGGATAGGAAACCTAGGAGGGAAGAAGCGGGAAGAAGTGGGAAAATACCGGAGAGAGAGACTAGCAAAGAGCCTAGGGAAAAGCCTGACGGAAAAGGTGCCGGAAGAAGCTATTAAAAGCCTAGGCATAGACTCGGATACGGACTGTGGGAAAGAAGTTAGGACTTAAAGTGAAAGCAAGAAGAAACTTAGACTCAGATACAGACTGCAGGTTGAAAGTGAAAGTGAAACCTAGAAGAAACTTAGACTCGGATACGGACTGTGGGGAGAGGCCAGGAGAAATGAGAGGGGAATATTGTTGTTGGAAGAAAAGTTAGGGAAACATACCGGGTAGAGAAAAATGTTAGGGAAATTAAAGCCGCGGGGGCAGGACGAGGCAGAGACGTAAGCTATCTTGGAATTCTTCAAGTCAGCCCGGGGAGCAAAAGGCGAAAATCTGGAACCAGAGGCAGAGACGTGGGCCGCCAGGTTGGAATTTACCAGGTTAGCCCAGGGAACTTGGACTGAATGCCGGTGGCGGAAATGTGAGCTGGGCTGTGTGACTTGCGGAAGCCGCCACGCGCAGAGAGAGTGCGCGGGGCACAAGTGGGGAGAGCGCACGGGGCGCGGATAGATAGGGAACGTGGGGCTAGCGCGAAGGCCGTGGTGCGGGCGCGAAGGCCGTGGAGACCGCGGAGCGCGCGAAGCCGAGCCGGGCAGAGCCGGGAACCCGCCGCAGGGCAGGCGCCGGGAAGCCGCGCAGATGAGAGAAGCGCGGGCTGAAGCGACGCAGAACCGGGAACCCGCCGCGGGGCGAGGCGCCGAGAAGCAGCCTCGGGGCGGGCGCCGGGATGCTGCAGGGATAAGAGAAACAGAAGTTTAGAAGTAAAATGAGAGAAATAGGAATGCTGGCAGATAGAAGTAAAATGGGAGAAATAGGAATGCCCGGAGATAGAGAAAGAGAAAAATAAGGCCTCCCCACAACACGGCAGTGAGAGAGCTTGGATTCGGTCTGCCTGATTAGTAAGACGATAAGCACCTGTGGGCGGCTGCAGGTCACCGAAGACAGGCACGTTATCAACACCAATATGTCTCCCCACAACACGGCAATGAGAGGGCTTGGATTCGGTTTGCCTGATAGGGCTTGTAAGCACCTGCAGGCAGTTCTAGCAGAGCAGAGCATGCGCTGCAGGGCACCGAACACAGGCACACATCAGCGCCTAAAAACCTCCTCACAACATGGCGAAGAGAGGACCCGGATTCGGTTTGCCTGATTGGTAGGGCTTGTAAGCACCTGTGGGCAACTCTAGCAAGCAGAGCAGAGTGTGTGCCGCGGGGCACCGAAGACAGGCGCGTATCAACGCCAAAAATAAAAAGAAAGGGGGATCTGTGGGGAGCAACTCGGACTAGACTAAGTTACTGGAATTAAGACTTATTCTATGCATCTGCTCTCCCACAATATGGCGCTGAGAAGGGAGTAACAACTTCTACGCAGCTGCCTCTCGCCAATTTGATTGACTGAGCTGCAGGAGCTGATCTTGCTCCTGATTGGAGGAGTGCAGCGTACTCGGCGTGTGGGTAGCAGAGTTGGGATTGGTGGAAGAGGACTATAAAGGAGGAGAGAGACAACATGCACGAGGAACATCTATCTGAATGAACACCTGTGCAGCCCCCGAGAGAGCCGGCTGGCGGTGTGCTGCTCCCTGGCGGAAGTGGGGAAAGCGGCAGGGGGAACCGCCCTTCCACGGAGGTGGAAGGGACGGTAGCCAACCTGGGAAGAACCAGCAGCAAACCCAGGGAGGGCCGAGCAGACAAAAGAACAGCGCAGGGTTTAGTGTCGTTCCTCCGTGAAGAGGGGGAGCGACACTCCACCTCAGAATGTACAAAGCATTCCTCCACTTCTGCGAAACAGCTCTTCTATCACTGTTTGCTCGGAATCTGGTATTAATGGCTAATGTAGCAGACACTCTTTCCCTTTGGAATGGGAGTAAGGAGGTAACAGAGAGAGGAAAGATGTACCTTCTCTCATTTGCTAATTTTTCTTACACTTTTCTTTCTTATTTCCTCAATATTACGATCATGTGTGTGTGAATGGGGAGAAATGAAAACGAGGGATGAGGGAATCTCCTTGGGTAGAGAAAGGTCAGCATCCATGCGATCAGGACAGCAATGACCATGCACTGAACGTTTACGAGGAGAAATTATGCCATTTCTTCATAGCAAATGAAAGACACCCAGTTCTCACAGAAACCCTGTAAGTCCTATCATTCTCCCCAGTTTACACACAGAATGTTGACGCTTAGTGAGGCTGAAACTCAACCAAGTCTACACAGCTGCTCTCATGGTTATTCTGTAAATGTCAGTGAGATAACTGACACAGTGGACTGACATATTCACCCTCCACTGACACCTTCCTACATGGGAGACCACCACGAGAACAATGTGAAGACAGACTAAAAAGGAAACAGCATAGCAGGAATATGCCCTTGATTTAAAAATGCCCACATCCAGGAGTCTGAGGAGCTACTGTTGCCTTTCAAGGCAGGCAGATCGCTTCAGTTTTCTATTTCCAAAGAATAGACTGTAGTGCTAGGGATAGTATTCAGAATATAGTATCTGAGGAAAGCGATTTGTTTTTCAAGTTGAAAATTAAGATTGTAAGAATAAATGAACAGGGCTGAGATTGTGACATAACAGGTAAGGCCCCCTGCCCAGCATCCCACGAGGGTGCTGGTTCCTGTCCTGGCTGCTCCACTTCCGATCCAGCTCCCTGCTAATGTGCCTGGGAAGAGCAGTAGAAGACAGCTCAAGTGCTTGGGCCCCTGCACCCATGTGGGGGACCCTAGTGAAGCTCCTGGCTTCAGCCTGGCCCAACCCCAGACATTGCATCCATTCGGGGAGTGGACCAGCACATGGAGCATCTCTCTCTCGCGGCCTCTGCCTCTCCTCTCTCTAACTCTGCCTTTCAGATAAATAAATAAATCTTTAAAAAAACAGATAGAAAGAAAATGGTTAGCTCACTATACCCACAGAAATAAAAAAAACAACAAAAATAACACATACCTATGATACCTCAACTGCAAGGTACTTCCCACAAGTGATTGGATTGTATTGGCTGACCATCTGCAAGTCATTTTAGTTAAGTACCCATCAGTTTCACATGATATATTGATATTGACATCTATTTAAAACACATTAAAATATTAATATAAAGCAAAAACACCAATGAAAAACATTTCTTACATTTTTAATAGGATTCTAAAATAGGGTCCGCCATAAAAATTTACCTCATGGAACAAAATAAATAAAACCTCAGTATTCTTACCAACCACATATAATTCCGCATAGCGATGATGGCATTCATGGTCACGGCAGCAGTACACTGCATCGTAGGTAAACTTCCCTCGAGGTTTGGTTGCATTCAAATTGGGAAAAGTAACTTTGCTGACACGATCATTCACAACGGTATACTGGCTTTGAGGAATTTTCTCAGCTAAATTCATCCACCAAACAATCTGTTTTGAGGACACAATCTTGTGCTCATTTTTATAGATGCAGTGAAAAGAAACGTTAGACCCAACACTTGTCAGAATTTTAGGTGGAAAGTAAATGACATCTGAAGAAGGAAGAAAAGCAGGATATCAGATAAAGACAGAAAACATCACATAAGCAATTTACAGCATTGTTAAAAAGAGTCACATCACATCGCAGGGCCAAAACTAAAATGAGCAGACTAAGAAACAGGACGACTCTAACTGCCTGTTCTTGTACAGTTATTCAGTGTTCCAAGCACTCTCATGCTAAGTGAACAAATTGACATTCATTCCATGAATGTCTTCACTATTTTCTAAACACAAAGGCTGTTCATCATAAAATGTTTTACTCAGTATTTGTCACCTGCTAAATTATAGGCAGAAAATGAACTAAAATGAAATAATAGCTTAATTCCACAATAACATGTTCTCCATCAGATCCTGTCTGAAGAATCAATAAAACCTAGAATGAATTCTTAAAACAAACCACCATGAGATAAAAATCCTGAAGAAATAATGGTGTTTGCTATTACCTTGACTGGATACATGAAAATTTCAATAAGCAGGTAAAGTAGAAAAGTGAAGTATAATTAAGAAAATTGGTTAGGAAAAGCAATACGAATGATGCACAGTATACGAAGCTGGGAAAGCTATCAATATCTATCATGTCATCTTTAGCTATTTAATACCAAGATGCTGTCAACAAGGATAAAAGAAACCAATATTTTTATAAAACGTAATTTAAGTGTCCACACACTATTTCATATTGTTTTTCAGCCCTGTGTTGTTGCTTATTATTTCATTTGCCTATTATTTTTAGTGAGAACAGGATAAAATGAAATGATAGAAAGTATTTCTGTCATAGTGCATTATAGGAATATAAGTGCATTTCACAAGCATGATTTAAGACAAGTCATTTTCTGCTAATAGAATAGGAGATCTGTTTTCTTACATATCTCCTGGACCATGCTTAAAAAAACACTTTATTGCTTTTTATTGCCCAAGTTTACATTGTAATACATGGTAAGTTCCAACATCTTCATACTTACATACAATCTGAATGATATTTGCATTTTGTATATATGTAGTCAAATAAAAACAGGAAAAGAATCTTGTAGCACGAAATGACTGGACAGAGCCAGAGCACTAGTCTTCTGAGCCTGAGTGAGGCTAACCCTAACCCTGGTCAAGGGTGGCACTTGAGCCTCTCTTGTCCACTCCTTACTGCAGACCAGAGAGCTCGTAACCCACCTCAATTTGCTCCACACCCTCATTGCTGAGCTGACTCAAATGTCTCAGTATAATACTTATTTTTTTAAAAAGTATGAGTTTTCATAAATTAAGTTGAAGCTTGTTATCTTAAAGATGATAAAACAAAGCTTCAAAGCATTTCACTTCAAAATCAAATCAGATAATAAGGCTTATTTGAGAAGTAAGATTAAAATCACAGTTTTTTGGCATAATTAAACATTAGCTAAAATTTTTAAATGTTAATAAAAACATTTTTAAATGTTAATAAAAACATTTTTAAATGTTAATAAAAAAAATTTATAAAATTTACATTGAAGAAATGTATTGAGATTGTTAAGAGATAAATGTCGAGTATTTAATTTACAAAATAATATAATTTTATCCTCATATGAAACATGATGCAGCATTTAATTTGAATAAGAAAACCATAATGATTTGCTTCTCATGACCAAGTAGCAATAATTTCACATGATCTCCATTGATGAACTTTGTTATAATAAAATTCTATTGGTAAACATTGTTGAATTACTTAAAAAATGCAAATCATGAATCAAAACATTTAGATAAAGTTATTTTTAAATGTGTTTCTTATAGCTCCAGGAAAAGTGATTTTTTTTTTTAATTCTTGGAGCAGATGCACCTATTCTTCTTTAAGGGAAAATATGTTCTCTGAACCATTATAAGAGCTGTCAAATACAAAATAAAGAAATTGCCTAATATCTGTCTTTTCTCTGTCTTGGTAGCAACACAAATAAAGTTAATAAAGGTGTTACAAGAATTCAGCATTTGTAAAGTTGTTTTCAGTATGCGGCACAATCTAATTGCAATATTTGTGAACTCTAAGTTCTAGCAAAGGTCCTTGGTTTTCCTCTAATCATCCAAGACCTCTGATAGCAACACTTTAGCTAATTAATTTCAATACAATTCATAAGAATTTCTTGATTAGAAGTAGTTAATGGGGCCAGCACCACGGCTCAATAGGCTAATCCTCCACCTAGCGGCGCCGGCACACCGGGTTCTAGTCCCGGTCGGGGCGCCAGATTCTGTCCGGTTGCCCCTCTTCCAGGCCAGCTCTCTGCTGTGGCCCAGGAGTGCAGTGGAGGATGGCCCAAGTGCTTGGGCCCTGCACCCCATGGGAGACCAGGAGAAGCACCTGGCTCCTGGCTCCTGCCTTCAGATAGGCGTGGTGCACCGGCCACAGCGCACCGGCCACGGCGGCCATTGGAGGGTGAACCAACAGCAAAAGGAAGACCTTTCTCTCTCTCTGTCTCTCTCTCACTGTCCACTCTGCCTGTCAAAAAAAAAAAAAAAAAGTAGTTAATGTTTTATTAACTGTGTATTTGATAGGTAAAATTATATCGATAAAAAGCTGTAACTACAAAGGTACTGATAATTCATATTGTTTGTACTACACCAGGAAACCTATGTTCAAAAAAAAAAATAGTTCAGTAAAACCCAGAGTATTTGGAAACAATCAGGCAAGTGTGCTAATTCACTCTAAATAATGACTCAATGTCACAGAAGGTTTCTGTTTGGTGAATGTCATTATATCACCTACCAGTGAACAATGATATTAAATACCTAGATTCAAATCCCTTTACACAAAGAATGGGAAGTTCCCAAGTTTGGAGAAACATCCTTTTCTGTTACACACCATCCAGAGGTCAAGGCTCATTTGTGGTAAGTGCTGTGATGTGTAGAAACTGCTGTAAAGGTAATTCAGCCAACTGAAACCTAAAAAACATAAGCAACACTAAACTCCATAATCCCAGGGATAGTGAAAATGAAGGGTTCCACAAAATGTTCTGGATTTGATTATGTTTTTAGTGCCACAGGAAATCCATCAAAATCACCCATTATGCCCTTTTCTGCCTTATTAATGTTTATGACTTTGTAATTATCCAGTTCTACTTTCTTACTGTATGAATTTGTATTGCTTGCCTTACTCTCTAAATCTCAACTTCCTTATCTATAATATATGAATAGCAGTGCCTAACGCATAGAGCTGTTGAAAGGATAAAAGCAGACGTAAAGTACTTAGAACAGTGCCTCAAACTCAGGAAGCATGCCATCAACTATTATGATTATGATCATGATCATGATTCAGTAGAGAATTTTGAACCTAGTCTTATATTTTGTTTGTGATTCAGTACACATCATTATTTCATTACATAATTATGGTAAATAGTGATATAACACAAAAATATACCTGGGAGCAACCTGAATGGGTGTTTTTGTACTCACTCTTGGTGTCCTTGATCTCCTATCTGCTGAGTTTCTGCCTTTCCTGTAATGGCCACATATAACCATTCAATTGCTACTAAGCTATCTAGGTTCATTAAATTAGTAAGCTTCACTTTACAGTCATTGCTAAATCAGTAAATTCTACCCTTGTGGCAACTGTTTACTATTGAATTTTTCCTTTATTTTCAGATTTTCTGTTTGGAGGTCCAAAGTCACCAGATGGCTGAGTAGTGACTAAGTATTGCTAATGGTAATATTGCTGAGTATTGTACTAGCAAATAAAGTAGCTAAGTTGTGTGCATTTTAAATGTATGCTAGGGGCCAACACCATGGTGTAGCAGGGAAAGCCGCCGCTTGAAGAGCTGGCATCCCATTTGAGCACCAGTTCCAGTCCAGGCTGCTACACATCTGATCCAGCTCTTTATTATGGCCTGGGAAAGCCGTGGAAAATGGCTCTAGTCCTTGGGCCCCTACACCAGTGTGGGGGACCCAGAAGAATCTCCTGGTTCCGGCTTTGGATTGGCACAGCTCCGGTCATTATGGCCAATCAGGGAGTGAACCAGCAGATGGAAGACCTCTCTCTCTCTCTCTCTCTCTCTCTCTCTCTCTCTGTGTGTGTGTGTGTTTGTGTCTGTGTGTGTAACTCTGACTTTCAAATAAATAAATAAATCTATGTGTATGCTAATAAATCTGACTACCTTATGAACAAAACACAAAAATGAGCCAACATATTTTTAAAACAAGCAAATTTAACCCTGTAGATATTGGTATGAGTTATAAAAAGGATTTCTACAAAATAAAATGGAAATAAAAATACGACTATCCACAGACCTAAAAATCTAAGTTGAGGGGTAGGCATTTGACCTAGGGGTTAAACATACCTATTAAGATTTCCACATTCCATATCAGAGTGGATTCCTGATTCTGGCTCCTGATTCCAGCTTTCAACCAACACAGACCATGGTAGACAGTCGGTAGTGGCTCAAGAGGTTGAGTTCCTGCCACTCACACAGAAGACCTGGATTGAGTTCCTAACTCTGCTACAGCTGTGCAAGCATTTAGGGCGTGAACCTGTGGGTGGGAACTCTATCTCTCTCTGTCTCTCAAATAAATAAATTAATTAAAAAAAAACCCAAATTGAAAAATGCAAAATAAAATCATGGGTAAACTGTAACACAAAATCCATTATGTTATATTGGATTGTTTGTCACTTTAATCCAGCTAAATACATAATATTTCTAAGAATTATTATTAAAAAGTCTTAATGTATACCTAGAATCCTAGAAAATCTCAAAAATCAACATTGTTTCTTTTAGAATTTATCTCTTTTTCATAGAGGGTAGGTTTTCAGTTCAAATTAAGAAATGAAAAGGTAAAGAATGATGTCATTTCACTATGAAAGAAAAACACTTCAGTGGACAATTACAGCCAGATAAGGCGGCACAGGTCCCTCAAGGGATGTAGAAGCCAGGGCCTTCTACTTTCCTTACAAAAGTTCGCTGTAGCCCTAACCATCTCACCATACACAAGTATGTAAAAACCTTCACATGGGACATCTTTAAAATTTGATGCTGTTAATTCATTCCTCTCTAAATATTGCCCAGATAATCATTCAGCTCTTAAGCAATTACATAATCATTGAAAATAGAAGATTCAGCCTTCCTTTGAAAAATTGCAAATGCTGAATTATCAGCATCAAAATACATACATTGTGACAGTCAATAATTATTTGAGGAAGAGAGATGAAAATGATATGAAGAATAAAGGTGAAAAGTTAAATCTATTCACCCAAGATCCCAGCTCTCCCAGCCAGTAACTTGGTGCTAAGCAATTAGTTACACATTTGTCAGTCACCCACCCTCAGCACACTTAGAGATTTTGAACATGTGGATTATAAACTGATAATATCGAATATTTACTGAGTGCCTAGTAAGCACTTTATGTACATTATTTCATTTTATCCATATAAAATTACTTATTTTACAGATGAGAAAATTGAGGCATGGAAAGCGCTATGGTCTAGACATGGCTTTTGCCCAAAGGTGCATGTGCTGTCACCCTGTTCCTTAGTGTGGAGCCTAGAGTAGGGTGGTTAGGTCATGGAAGTACCACCCTCTGGAGGGATTAATGCTGGTCTTGTCAACTGACTGAGTTCTCACAAGAGTGGGTTATTATCAGCGAGGCCACCCCATACATTTTGTCCCTTCTGTATGCAGCCATTGCCCTTTGCTTTTTCACCACTGTTGTGACACAGCTAGCAGGGCCCTCAAAAGAAGCAGACATGACTGCCTGATCTTGGACTTTCAGCCTTCAAAACTCTGAGCTTCAATAATCATCTTTTCTTTAATAAGTAAGTACCCAGCTCAGGTATTCAGTTATAACAATAGAAAACAGACTAATACAGACAGGTTAACAGACTTCACAAATAAATGGTGCGGACCAGGACTGTACAAACTTCCATCAGACTCCAAAGTCAGGGCTGTTAAACCAGTAGTATCAAGTAGCAAGGCAACAGTAAATGAACCTGTTGGGTTGAGTGGGTTGAATATTTGTTTCATGCTTCACTTGGTACTTGCTGTCTCCACATTTCCATAATCAAGCAGAGGAAGTCTGAATAAGAAATTGTTGCCCCTTCGACAGCTCAGGCCACCAATCAAGGGACTAGTAGGTGTCCCCATAGTCACAACTTAGCACGTGGAGGACTGGGACTGTTCCTCAGTAAAACACAGCACTTCATCTTCATAAGCAGGTTGTGACTAAAATTGTGGCTCTTCTGATGTTAAAAATAACTTCAAAAATATGACAAATTAACACTGAACACTCTCAAAAGCAAGCACTGTAGCAAAAATATCTTTAGATAATATATAATATTAAAACAAAATCTTAAAGTTTGAAATGTATGTCAGATAAACACAGGTTATCCTAGGTTTTCAAATCTAATTTAAGGAAACATCAATACAAATGGTTTTCTGAATTTGTTAATTTAGAGATTTGAAATTAACTGTTTCATCTTTCTGATAAGAATAATAATTCAACAAGGTATGCTATGAAAGCACATAAATCTAGAACTCTGAAGGAATTTTAATGAAAAAATTAGCCAATTCAAAATTTAAATAAAAAGCTAACACCATGTGCCCTCTTTTGTTTTAGGACTGTAAAATTTAAAATTAATATATACCAAAGACAAACTCAGTAAACGGATTTCCCTCTCAACAAAAACTATTAGAAAACATACCTTGCGTGACAAAGATTTGAGGGGTACTCCAGTCACTCCATGTTCCTGGACCGTCCAGTCTCCTGCCCCTCACCTGAGCCTTGTATGAAGACCCAGGAAGCACACTGTCTACTAGCAGGAATGTAGCTGATACAATCTCAGCAACCTGTTGAATATTATTTTAAAACATCAGAGCAGCAAGTGATGGGATCTTTATCAAAACTGGCCATAAGCAGACCCCAACAAATTTCAAAGAAGGAAAATCTTACATGGTAGTTACCTGGCCATAATCACATTAAACAAACCAAAAAGCAAAATAACAAATGTTTACACATTAGTCAGTGAAATGTTATTAGTCCATGGGTCCAAGAAACCTCATAAGGACAATTAGCAACAATTGTTAACTGAATGGTAATGAACAAATGACCTTTAGAATTTTGAGAAATGCAGCCAAAGATAGGGGAGCCTCCAGCCGCCACTGCCTTCTACAGCATGAGTTGCATGCAGAGGGGAATGATAAGCTATAGTGCAGGGACCAAAATGCAGGTTTTAAACAAACCAGAGGGAAGGTTTGTTTAAAAGAGCCAAGAGCTGAGCATCGCCTACCAAACACATTCAGTTTTCCAATAAAATACTCTAAGTTATTCAACTCTCTGGCCTTTGAAAACTGTGGGTGAGGGTGTCACAGACTAAAAATTATGAAAAGCGTCAGTAATAAATGAAACAGGATTGGGTTACTGATATTTAAACTCCTATCGTCTCTGATTCACAGATGAGAAAGCTGAAGCCTGCAGAAGCCTTAACTCTGGTCCTTCCATTCCCAACGCTAAAGACTCCCCTGCAGCTCTGTGTGAAAACAGTCTTAAAAACTTAGCCTTTATCTTAAAAGAATGGTTTTTATTGCTAAATTACATGCACCGCATTTCATAAAGTGCCAAAGTACTCACAAGGCCCAAGAGGCCCTTCCTGAGCTCCTCTTCCGCTTCCCCTCCCTGTATCTGCCCGTCCTCATCCACTGTGCTAACTCACTCCCCTTCCGGCTCAGCCACCCTGGTCTCTGCACTGCTCTTCTGTTTGGAAACCCAGTTCCAGCAGACATCAACACCATCACCTCCTCCCACTCCTTGCTCAAATGGCACCCTCTCCAGCAGGCCTGACCAGTGTCCATTTAATGTACAATCATCCCTCCCCAAGCAGTGCTCCCAAACTCCCCTTAGCCTGTTAATATATCCCAGTGTTGCTTGATGCACAGAGAACTGTTCTTGACACCTAGTTGGGTCTCAACAAGTGAATGAATGAATGCAAAAAAAATGACCTGGCACATGTTACAGCAAAAATGCATACACTGCCTGTGAACAAATATACTGAGCAATTAAAAAGTCAGATTGAAATGTAACATCAGTAAACTTCATGTGAAAAAAAATTATGATTATGAATTCAAGTCTCTGTTTAATGGACACACACACACACACACACAAAATCATGTTCAACATAATGACATGGCCGGCGCCGCGGCTCACTAGGCTAATCCTCCGCCTAGCGGCGCCGGCACACCGGGTTCTAGTCCCGGTCGGGGCGCCGGATTCTGTCCCGGTTGCCCCTCTTCCAGGCCAGCCCTCTGCTGTGGCCAGGGAGTGCAGTGGAGGATGGCCCAGGTGCTTGGGCCCTGCACCCCATGGGAGACCAGGAAAAGCACCTGGCTCCTGGCTCCTGCCATCGGATCAGCGCGGTGCGCCGGCCGCAGCGCGCCGGCCGCGGCGGCCATTGGAGGGTGAACCAACGGCAAAGGAAGACCTTTCTCTCTGTCTCTCTCTCTCACTGTCCACTCTGCCTGTCAAAAAAAAAAAAAAAAAAAACATAATGACATTTTGGTCAACTACAAACAGCACACATGATAGGGGTCTCATAAAGTTAAAATAGACCGGAAAAATTCCTAGCACCTAATGACATCACAGGCAACATAACACTCACAGTGCAAACTATTCCTCAGAGGTCTGTAGTGACGCTGATATAAACAAACAGCACTGCCAGCCATATACAATTATGAACAGTACTTAACACTTGACACAGACAATAAATGACCATGTTACTGATTTATACACTTGCTATACTATAATTTTATTGTTATTTTTGTATGGCAAAAAATAAAATTACTGTAAAACAGTATGCTGTGTATCAGGTCACAGCCTCACACAATGTGGGTTTCCCAGGATTCTTGACTGCATCAAGAAGTGATGCCAAGACCTATGCTACAGATCTCTTTCTGTCACTCTGCCTTTCAAATAAATAAATCTTATGAAAAAAGCACGTGGGCCCCTGCCACCCATCTAGGAGATCAGGATGGAGTTCCTGGCTCATGGCTTTGGCCTGGCGCAACCTTAGCCATCTAGGGAGTGAACCAGCAGATGTCAACAATTCTTTCTCTGTCTCTCCCTCTCTCTCTGTCACCCTGCATTTCAAACAAATAAAACAAATTTAAAAAACTAAGCCATCAAGGTTTATATAAATATACTCTATGATATTCACAAAATAAAATCACCTAATGGTCAGATTCTCAGAATATATTTTTGTCATTAAGCAACATGATTGTATAGATATATATACACAAATAAATATGTGTATATATTTACACACACACACATACATGAGGGTACTTCAAAAGCTTTATGGAAAATAGAATTAAAAGATAAATTTATTTTGGTGCAAAAACTGAAGTCCATGCATAGTTTTTTCACAATACACATTTTCATTAATGTCTTAAAGGACCCTTGTAGGCACAGATTTCACAAATTTTTGCAATAAAATAAACTTACCTTTTAGTTCCATTTCCCACAAACTTTCTAAAGTGCCTCTCTATATGAGAGCCATAAGGATTATGTTCAGTTACAATTCATCCTGCTGAGCAGGTATATTCAGTACACAGAATGTAATTTCTGAGGACTTGAGGATTCCTCAGTTACTCTTCAACTTCTGATTTTGTTTACCAAAATATACTTACTTCTCTTATAATTGTTGTGGAATTCTCTGAGTATTTCACTTGATATTGCAGTGGAAATGGTACCTGGGCTGGGTTGGACCAAGAAATCTTTAAATTGCCCTTGTCCGTGATTTCCATACGCAAGCCTAACGGTGGATCAGGCTTCACTTAAGGAAAAAAAAAAGCAACATTTTTCAAACTTTTATTTAATAAATATAAATTGTAAAAGTACAACTTTTGGATTATAGCAGTTTTTCCCCCCATAACTACCCTCTTACCTGCAAACCATCCCATATCCTAATCCCTCTCCCATTCCATTCTTCATTAAGATTCATTTTTAATTATCTTTATATACAGAAGATCAACTTAGTATATACTAAGTAAAGATTTCAACAGTTTGCACCTACACAGACACACAAAGTATAAAGTGCTGTTTGAATACTCGTATTACCGTTAATTCTCATAGTACAACACATTAAGGACAGAGATCCTACGTGGGGAGTAAGGGCACAGTGACTCCTGTTGTTGATTTAACAATTGACACAAAGAGAGCAATTTTAAGTCAAATAAATTTCACGATAATCATATCTGAATAAAAGGAACTCAGAATTAATTTTCAGCATATCCTGCTTTTCCGCTATTTAAAAGGGTGCCTTTATTCAGAGCTGTTTACAGAACCAAAACAAAGTTATACTACTGTGTCTCCTCCTTGCCCCTTATCAGAGCAAACCATGTATCTTAATTTCCTTCCTTCTAAGTGGTTAATCAGCAAGTGAGATTATTTTGATAAGTAATACTGTAAAAATACTTAACATTATTTAATCCAGCATTCCTCAAATTTATTTGAAGTCTCCTCCCAACCCTACCCACCTCACTTGTGAAACCATTTGGAACACACATAGAAATACCCAAAATTTAGCATATCTATTGATTTAAAATAATAACAATCAAGACACACCTACTAAAGTAACCCAGAACACAAATAGTAACATACATAAATGCAGCATCATCAGGCCCTGCCTTGTCACCAGAAGTAGGCATGAAGTTTCTTCACTTAATGAGTTTAACTTTGTAGATGACTTCTGTGTTCAAATGTATGCGTGTATATTGATGTATGCATATGTGTTTGTATTTATAAGTATGTGGCTATATATGTGCACACCCATACATAGTTTCAAACAACAAACCAAACCTTTGAAATATTTGTAGAAACAATTTAAACATCTTAACAATGGTTCATATCATAATGGAAATCTATAAAACATACAATAAAAATCATAATGTAGAAGAATACTGAAAACATTTCATTTGTTCTTTTGTGTCTTTGTTTTGCTCCATGGTGTCTTTCAAAATGTTTCACATTTATTCTTGGGTTTCTGATTTGTTAAATTTAGCAAATAAAAAGGATATGAACAAATGTATATTTAAAATAAAAGTGTTTCCAAAATGGTAGATAACAGATGATGTATTTTCTTCTTTGCACATTTTAATACTTCGCGAGGTTTTTACAATTAATAAGAATCACTCATATACACAGAAATTATCATTATACTGAAGCAGTTAGTGATTTAAATTTTATTTTTAATAAAATAGCACAATATGTTATCTACATTGCATATTTTCAGGAAATTGGACAGTTTTCTCTTTTGCTTTGGTCAAAATTTGACAAATTACAAATTTTAGTTACTATAAAACTAAACATCAGTCTGGAAACCACATGTGAAATTCAAAACAAAACAAAGACACCAAAGAGAAGTGAAATCAAAAAGTACAAACTACTATCCATTTCCTAACTGCATACCATTATGCATCAGCATTAGAAATTTAAAAAGAAATTTTCCTGGATCCCCTATAGATCAGCTGTATATATATATAGATCACACCCCCCCCACACACACACACACATACACACCTATCTGCCTCTTTCAAAGCATTGTTCCTCAGAAAAGCTGGTGGTTCTCACTCTTCATATCCCATGCCCTGACCAATCTAACTCTGGTCAGATCTTCCTCATCAGCCCACTGAAAATGCCCTTATCAAGGTCATTACCCTTCACCAAATCCAATGTCAGTTTCTAGTTCGTCTTGTTCTCCCTGCTGCAGCATTACACACAGATGCGACTCCCTCCTTCTTGAAATACTTTCTTTACTTGATTCCCATTCTCACTGATCACCCCCTCATTCTATTCCTGAACTGTAAACAGGTGATCTCACACAATCCCATAAACCTCTATTTGCTAATAATTCCCAACTTTATCTGCCCTGAAATTTAAACTAATATTATCCAACTGTCCACTCAACATCTCTTGAAATTTTAACAGGCATTTCAAATATAATGTGTTGAAAATAGAACAATTTCTGCACACACACCTAATCCTCCCTGAGTGTCCCTGTCTCTGTACCAGTCTAAGGCTTATCCTGATTCCTCTCTGTCCTTCATATCCTCTAATCCAACCCACTACAGTGGTCAGCACCATCTTCCAAAGGGATCCAAAGGGATCCACATCTATCAATTCTTCATTTCTTCACTGATAGAACTCTAAACCACCTGGACTATCCCCAAAGCCCCCCATGTTGGCTCCTTCCTCCAGTCTTCCAAATATGCCTCACTTCCTTCCCTATCAATTTCATTCTTCAAAGAGCAGAGTAAATTTAAACACACACACATCTGATCATATCAGTCCTCTAATTCCAAAGTTGCCATTGCAACTAGAATAAAACCCAAACTCTGCAATACTGGCCTCATATGCTCTATACCCTGGTAATAAGTAGAACCACAACTCCTAATATTCTCGTATCTCATTTACTCCAAGTACCGGAGCCTTCTCTTTTGTTCTCAAATTTACAAATTCACTCCATCTCAAGGAGTTTGTGAATTTTGTTCTTCCTGCTTGGAGCACCTTTTGCTCTGGATGTTGGCATGAATGCCTCCTCTTCACTCAATTAAAAAGCTAAGCCCTAAAAGAGAAGTCTTTGACCTCCCTAGAAGGAATACCAACTGCAATCTGGACACTCCATCACACTACCATTTTTCTTTAAGGACACCTACAATCTTGGGATATTGTCATACATGTTCAAATATATGGAAAAAGATTTTCTTCAAAATCATCCCTGTAAGAAGACAAATTTAAGAAATTTCTCAGGGCCAATGGTGTGTTGTAGTAGGTTGAGCCTCTGCCTGGCATCCCATATGAGCACCAGTTTGAGTCCTGGCTGCTCCTCTTCCGATCCAGCTCCCTGATATGGCGTGGGGAAAGCATAGAGGATAGCCCAAGTGCTTAGGCCTTTGCACCCGTGTGGGAGATCCGGAGGAGGCTACTGGCTCCTGGCTTCGGATAACCCAGTTCTGGCCATTGTGGCCATTTGAGGAGTGAACCAGAGGATGGAAGACCTCTCTCTGTCTCTTCCTCTTTCTGTCTGTAGCTCTACCTTGCAAATAAATAAATAAAATCTTAAAAAAAGAGAAATCTTTCAAGTTATTATAAATTCTATCATAATATTATCCCTTAACTACTTTATTTGAAAAACAATTCAATTTGATAATGACTCAAAATACTTCTTAAAAATTCACCAAGGGGGAATTGGATTTGGAAAGAAAAGAAGATGGCATTTAATAAAGAATGTGCAATTTTTCTGGGTTATAATTTCTTGCTTGAATTACATGGATGTTAATGTAATCATGCTGTGGGAATCACAAATATATCCCCAGAGGAAAGTTATTTGAAAGCCCTAATCTTAAGATATGGGATCATGCACAGATTTTAAAACTGTTATACCTCAAGTAAATAGAAAGAAATTGGAGGTGTAGAGAAAATAATGTCAGATACTTTGAAAAAATGGTTCCAATGAGGTAAAATCAATGATACAAATCAGATGTAGAGTTGGATTATAATTATTTCAGGAAATTTAAGAGGAAACTAATAACACTGCTAATCCATAACTAATATACAATTTAACATATGTATATGAACTGAGTTAATAAATGAAACATTTCAAGTTAACACTTGGCTTTATTATTCATTTGTAATTGTGTGTTCAAGTTATTAAGGATTTCTGTACCAAGAAAATGGGGCACTGCCTATGGTTTCAGCTTCTTACAATCAAGTTTGTATGCTAAATTACTTGCTGATTTACCTTTTTAATCATTTCACCTGCCCAATATTTATACCCATCTATAGGAGGTAGGAACCTTGCCTCATTCTTTGCTATTTCTCCAAATCCTCGAATAGACTTGAACCTTTAAGAAATATTTATTGAAGCAATAAATGCAGGCAAGAAGCATCCCTCTAATTATTTGATTTATTTCTAGAAAGAATTATCTGAGATGTGAAAAACTGACAACCGAACAATACATGTCCATGAGACTGATGCAGGCTTTAAACAAACCAAACTGCTTTTAAGAAGGAATTTAAGTGACATGATAGAGAAGTCAACCCTGCTGTTAAATCATTCCATAGTGACCCCTAGTGCTACACTTACCATGATTTATAGCATTGGTCAATGGGAGATAAGCTAGAGAAAAATTTTGTCAACAACGTTTAGCCTTTTTGGTGGCTGATGTTTAACTGTATTACCATTTTATGCACAACTTACCGGCATCTATGAGCTGAACCGACATGAGAGGGGACTGCAAAAACACTCCACCAGATGTGACTTTGAAATACATAAGAAGGGTGTAGTTGAGCTTGGCTGCTGGCACAGGCACATGACACTCACAACGCTCATGAACACTGCAGTTGCACTGCACCATCTGAAAAGTGCCTTTCTGGGGGACCAGAAGAGAATCTTCTAACATTTCAGGCCTATATTTAAAAATAAGACCTAAATATTAACATAGATGTGAACATATTAGGCAGGTTTCACAATAAGGACACTGTATCCAAATTGAAATAAGCTTTATGGACATCCAGCTTAAAAGATATCTGGGGAAAAACAGATATATTATATCCAAAAAATGAAGATAAGGATTACAGCAGGTTTATCATCAAAAATTGCATAAGCAAAAAATGGACAAAATCACAGTGAAGTACTAAAAAGAGAGAAACACTGCAATCCTAAAACCCTACACCCACTGAAACATCTTTCAAAATAAAGGTGAGATGAAGGGTTTTTACAGGTAGCCCAGAATATAAAGAGTTCAATACCATGAAGCCTGCATTATAAAAAATGCTAAAGAATGTAATACAGTCTTAGTGAATTGGCCCCCTTTCTGTTACAAAATGGCCTTCTTTAAGGAAAAGGAAAATGAGAACATTCAAAAATCCAGTTTCATACAAAGAATGAAACTGAATGCAAAGGATGAATATCTATGGAATATTTAAAACAAAAGTGTGGGATCTGTCACACAGATCAGAGTAAAGTATATGACTTCAGCATGACCTTAGGAAGGGAGAACTCTAAATATACAGCTGTAGTGGTTACATACCATATATGAAGTGGCACATCACGTAGAGATAAAATACCACTTAGACTATACTACATTAAAGATATATATATTGTAAATGCTAAAGTAACCTTTAAAATAATAAAACAAGAAGATGTAGCTAATAAGCAATAAAGGAGATTAAATAGAATCATAAAAAAATGTTCCATTTGGCCGGCGCCGCAGCTCACTTGGCTAATCCTCTGCCTACGGCGCCAGCACACCAAGTTCTAGTCCCAGTTGGGGCGCCGGATTCTGTACCAGAATCTCTTCCAGGCCAGCTCTCTGCTGTGGCCCAGGAAGGCAGTGGAGGATGGCCCAAGTGCTTGGGCCCTGCACCCGCATGGGAGACCAGGAGGAAGCACCTGGCTCCTGGCTTTGGATTGGCGAGTACGCCGGCTGTAGCGGCCATTTGGTGGGTGAACCAGCAGAAAGGAAGACCTTTCTTCTCTCTGTCTCTCTCTCTCTCACTGTCTAACTCTGCCTGTCAAAAAAAAAAAAAAAAAGAAAAAGAAAAAAGAAGAAATGTTCCATTAAAAAAAGAAAAAGTAACAAAAAACAAATGAGAAAAAAAACCTAAACATAGCCATAATCATATTAAATACATTCTACACATCTTGTTTAAAAGGCAGAGACCATCAACCTGGATTAAGAAGCCCAATTCAATTATAGATTGAATTCATGGAAACAATTATAAAGCACAAATAAGTACAAGGAAACAGGTGGGAAAAGATAAATCATTACACGGTTATTCTGAAGAATGCTGGAATGGCTATTCTAACATTGGACAAAGTAGTTCTCAAAGCAACAAGCATTACCAGAGTAAAGAAGGTCATTTCACAGTGAAAAAGGGGTCAATTCACCAAGAACACATAATAATCCAAAGCATTTATGCAGCTCATAAGAATTTCATAAAATGAGTACATGAAACAAAAAGTTTATAGAAACAGACTAACCCACAACTACTGATGGAAATTTATGTATCCTTCTCCTAATAACTGATATAACAAGCAGACAGAGACCAGTAAGGACACAGACTTTAATAGTACTCCCACCTTGATTAATAATCATTGCAAGAATACTTCATCCAGCTATAGCAAAATGCACATTCTACTCAAGAGCACATAGTACATTTGGCAAGGCAGACAATATTCTGGGTCTCAAAACAAATCTCAACAAGTTTAAAAAATATTCAAGTTACACAAAAATAGAATAAATAACAGAAATCAATAATAAAGATAGATGGAAAGGCCCTAAATATTTGGAAACTTAAAAATACACTTCTAAATAACCATCAAAGAAGAAATCAGAAAAATAATTTAAAGTAAATAAAAATGAAAACACAGCATATAAAAATGTGAGGCATTATTTAAAGTGATAACTTCAAGGAAAATCACAACATTAAAAACAGAGACTGAATACCAATTTTCAAAAAGAAGAAAGATCAAAGACCTCGGCTTCCATCCTGACACACCAGTGGAAAATAAGAGAAAATTACACTAACTGAACAAGAGATAGTAAATTAATATCAGATATGAATGCAACAAAATGGAAAACAGAGAAATAGCAGAGATCAAGAAAGTCAAAAGCAGTTTAAGATAAATAAAATTGATGATTGACCAGGAAAACTAAAGAACTACACAAATTAACAAAATAAGAAGATGGTGGCATAGGGAGGGAGCTTACTGCTCTAGTCTAGGGAGGATAGTTTTTTAAAAAGTGGATAGAGTGCAATCTCAGGGAACAGTTAGGGAGAAAATGGCAGAGGAAACTCCATGCAAACTTGGGGGACGCTGAGGACCTATGTGCAGAGTGTGGACACACAGCTTGAGACCACAGCAGTCAGGAGCCTCAGCACCAGCTTTGGAGTGAGGTGAGACTAGATTATGCAGCTGAAGCCACTGGCCATAAAGCTGTGGGAAGAGCCTGGCGTGGACCTATCTTGGAGCCCTGTGGGGGAGAGTTTATCTGACAACCTAGAGGGATTAAAAAGGGGGTGTATTTCTCTCTCCCCAACCACCCAGCACTAGGCGCCATTCTGGACATACATAACAGCTGCACCCGCTCATATCTGCAGGCCCAGCAACCAGCTGAGAGGAGACACCTGAGTCTGGCTGGGAGCACTGACAGGCGTCTGTGTGCTCGTGACTGTGGGAGCCTTGTATGACAGGTCTGTGAAAATAATGTGGCTGGGACTTTGGGCAGTCACTGTGGATGGCACCACATGCTCAGGGCTCCCTGATTCTCTGGTGAGGATCATTGCTGCAGGATCCGAATTCACACTGAGGACTGCACAGATCTTTTGTGTGCTTCTTGTGGCAGTGTGGATGAAAATTATACACAGGCATTGGTCTCCTTTGAGGAGTGGAGGTGAGTATGAGAATATGCCAACAGAGCAGAACAACGTCCCTCTGATAAAAAAAATTTCCAGGAGATTTACCATGCCCAACATGGGTGTCACCTTGGACACTACCTTCATCCTGGAGCACTGAGCAGAGTTGCTGACAAAACCCAATATATAATACATGCCTCTGAGTGTTCACTGAAAGAGCAGACACTCCACTAAGCCACAGAGTCATAGTCCAAAGACAAAAGCCATTACAGGGGGCTGGCACTGTGGTGTAGTGGGCTAAGCCTCGGTGTGCTGGTTCTAGTCTGGCTGCTCCTCTTCTGATCCAGCTCTCTGCTTAAAGCCTGGGAAAGCAGTAGAACATGGCCTAGGTGTTTGGGCCCCTGCACCCGTGTGGGAGACCTGGGAGAAGCTCCTGGCTCCTGGCTTCAGATCGGCTCAGCTCTGGCCATTGTGACAATTTGGAGAGTGAACCAGCGGATGGAAGTTTTCTTTCTGTCTCTTCCTCTCTTGTCTGTAACTCTGCATCTCCAATAAATAAATAAAATCTTAAAAAAAAAGAAAAGTCATCACAGGAATAAAACAAAACAAGTATCACCACAAATGCCTAATAATAAATGCAGCAATTCAAGAAACAAGAATAAGGAAGACAACATGATGCCCCAAAAAGTACACAACACATCAATACTAGAATGTGAAGATGTAGAGATTGACTAAAATGCCAGAAATGCAATTCAAAAAATTGATCATAGGATTACATAGAAGTAATCAGAAGGAAATTCATGAACTAAAGAAATCTGTACATGACATGAACAAAGATTTTTCCCACGAAATTGACATTTTAAAGAGAAATTAAAATGAAATATTAGCAATGAAGAATTCAGTAAAACAAATTTTAAAATGCAGTGGAAAGCTTTAAGAAGAGATTCAATGAGGCAGAAGAAAGAATATCTGAGTTAGAAGACAAATCTCTGAAATTTTATAGTCAGAACAAGAAAAGAGAAGAAGAAATTAGAAAACTAAAAAATAGAGTCAGAGATTTACGGGATACTATCAAACAACCCTACATACAGGTTTTAGGAATTCCTGAAGGTATGGAAAGAAAGACTGGATTACAAGGTCTTTTTAGTGAAATAATTGCAGAAACCTTCCCTAATTTTGAGAAAGAAATGGAAGTGGAACTATACAGAACTCCTAATAGACATGACCAGAAAAGAACCTCACCATGATACTTTGTAATCAAACTCTCCACAGTAAAACATAAAGAAAGGATTCTCAAAATGTGCATGAGAGAAATGCCAGATTACTTCCGAGGATCTCCAATTAGACTTACAGCTGACTTCTCATCAGAAACCCTATAGGCTAAAAGAGAATGGTGAGATATAGTCCAAGTCTCAAGAGAAAAAAAAATAACCATTAACCTAGAATACTGTACCCTGCAAAGCTCTCATTTATGAATGAAGGTGAAATAAAGACCTTCCATATATATCCACAAAGTAGTTTTGAATCATCAGAGTTCTAAATTTTTAAACAAAGTCAATGAAATGTGATTTTCAAAAGTACCAAACCAGGCTATTTATGTGTTTTTCTTTTCTTTCAAAGATTTATTTATTTATTTGAAAGGCAGAATTGAAGTAGGCAGGCATACAGGATAAAATTGATCAGATTTGTGAACCGGAAGACCACGCCCCTGTGTGACCTCATGCTCCTACCTGATGCCTTTGCCACGCCCCTGTGTGGCCTCATTCCCCTACCTGGCCACACCGGGGTGCCCACCAGCCATTCAGGTTAATTAACCACTCCCCTTTGGAGTGGGTTAAAAGCCTAGGGCACAGTGTGCCTGGGCCGGTTCTTCTTCCCTGGCCTCTTGCCAGGACAGGGCTGGCTGTAGTCCTGCGCCTCCAGGGCGCATCGCCTTCGGGCCATGTGCTCTAGGCTTCCTGGCCTAGATGCTCATCCACGTGGCTGGTTCCTGGTGCTTGGTATGAGCCCCTATTCACCTCTCTCCCCTAAATAAGCTCTCACTCTCC